ATTTACATAGAAATAACAAGTGTTAATTAGCATCAAGAACTCACGTGCATGCCATTGTGACAAGAAAACTGCAACACATCTCCAGTATTGGGAATGTCTGTATGGTAAATTCTGGTAAGAATAGCATCCAGATCATCTTGCTAAAAAAATTCAAACCGGTCATTAACTGATAAGAATGACTGCTGCAGCAGTAGACTGTCATTGTACGATGTTATTCAAAAGAAAGGTGAATAAGGAGCCCACTGGCAATATGAACATAAGTAAAAGAAGGCCAAACAAGAAAAAGAAAACACTTACCGTCCCTTTATTCATAATCAATGACACATGATTGAGAATCTTATAGAAAACACCTGGCCATGAGAACCCGCTGAAATATACTGATAGTTTATGACAGTCAAAAAGTGTGGCTGTCACCTTAATATGCAGATACAAGTATTATTTCTCGGCGTAAAGCGGCAGAAACCGAAGGTATACCGGGATTGTGAGTCTGTTAGAACAAAAGAAAAAAGTTGTACAGCTTCAGAATCAACCCTAGAAACAAACCACTAGAAAAAATTCAAAATAAGGGGTAATGACTCACTCTTTGAGGCCACATGGAAAGCTGAACTGTCGCACGCTTTTCAAGGCTGTCTCATCATTGTAATCTTCTGGATATTTAGTCAATATCACAGCAAGACCATCCTGTTCATTGACGCCAACTTCGCAAAAAACATCGAATAAAGTGGCCATATCCACACTGTTATTGAAATGGTCAGTGCAAGATTAGAAAATGAACAATATCGACTCACCGATGCCTCGACGAAATCGGCTTGTTGGCAGTCATCTGGATCGGGCATATATCTGGGTGACTAAATGGCTTGGTTTACATAAGAGAACTTTTAAGAAATTCAAAACAATAACGAGTGTGTCTGGAAGACGGCAAGGAAAACGCTGCGAGTTACTGATGAGAGATTGCTTTTCAAAGTCAGATTAGTGGAAGCGGAGCTCCTTGTATAGATTACACTATCATGACTTCTAACCTGCTTATGGAGTGTACACAAAGACCGTCCTCAAAATCATCTCAGCAGCACCACCTCATTTATTGGCGTGAAAAATAATTAGTCCGCAGGAACGTAACATCGTAAATTACAGCTAAAATTATGATGAGGTTTGTCCTTCACAACATTTTCCATCTTTGCAGGTGGCGTAAATAGCATGGAAAATTGTTGTTGATATCATTGGTGTAAGCTCTCATAGCAGTTTCATCTTTTTTCTTGCTCTAAGTATACCAGCTACCAGCATTGATTACCTACAGTCTGGAATAAACGCTGAAATGAACGCTCTAAATTGAAGAATTTTGTTAAGTCATGACCATCTCCCCCGTTAATGTCCCTACTCTTATCAAAGATTTGCAAAGAATAGTTGTTGAGCTAAGGGAAAGCGATCAGGTACTGAATGGATAATTTCTGCTTGGTCTGCTCAGCGATAGTTTTATTCAGGTTAACTTATCACTTACGTACGCTCATCGTGTTGCCGATATCATACAACGGAGAGGTGGCGACACGCCTTCGGTTTGTGTTATATTTGAACAATCATTTCACCTTAATGTTCTGTTCTTTCAGCGCCATGTCCCAGGGCAGGATACCGAAACAGAACACAAGGAGAACAGGAATAGGCAGGTTCGACTTTTTGACTTTTTATACACATATTCAAATGGTTTTGCATGATGAACCTTCCTGTTCAGCTTCGCGACCTAGACAATGAGAACCGACAGCTTCGTCAGCTCTATGAAGATTCACAATGGACGTTACATCTCGTCATGGAAGCACACCGAAAAGAGCTGGAGTCTCATTTTGGACAACACGAAAGCACCCCTTTACCTGGCAATCAAGACGACGACGATGTGGTACGTAACATTTGCTTTCTCCTGGTGATGTTTTTGTTAGATTTGATCAAATTTTCAAAGGTTATTCTTGTTTATGTTTCGCTAACACGCTGTTTTGCATTGCTATCGCTGTATAGGCGAATTATCACGCGCTGAAATATATATCTACCACGTACGTTTAAGCACATTATCACTCCTCTTACCTTCTGCTGACTCGTTCAAACACACTTTCTCTACCGCCCGCAATCGCGTCCAGTCTCTGCGTGCGAGGACTGGCCTGTATTTGTGTGGCTAATTTCTCCTCTATTCAAAAATTTGTCCGTCGCACCCTTAACGAAAGTTTTTGGGACCTCAGTCATACTAGCATCATTGATGACAACTAAATCACACCATTATTTGTTGTCAGTCTTTATGCTTTGATTCCAGGAAAGCTTGAAAAATCGGTTTCATAAAAGTGTTGCTCTTATGGCTAGAGACGTCAACGAAGTTTTTCGACATGAACAGCGGATAAACGAAGCTTTTTCCAAGGTAACCTTTGATTGTTTTCCTTTTTCTTAGTGCTCTAGTCCCCCTTGCAGAGGATAGAGGACCTATCTCTGGAAAACGAGGTTTTACGATGTGTTCTTGAGAGTCAATCCGAAGAATCAGCCGATGCAGTTATTGAACGACTGGAGCGTAGGTCTGTTGTAATTGAAATCTTGTTTTTTTCAAACTCGATTTCTTCTTTGTGATTCGTCAAAAAATACGTTCTTATTTTTCTAGTCCTAGTGTAGTTTTGGTTTTTGGTAAAGTTTTTCAAGTCATTTTTTCAGGCGTCGTGTTTCGTTGTGATTTGACAGCATCCTGTAAGCCAGTAAAAATTACAACGGTGTTAGCCATTATGAAGGTGCACTAGCTAACTGATTATTTATGAGAGCATGGGCTTCCAGTGCATATCGTATTCCCGTCGTAAATCTGATCTTTTGTACGAATAGTAACCATTGATCCTTGATCAACAACGCCCATTGTATCACCACATGTACTTAGTAATATCAGCTAGGAATGCAAGCAAGAGGGCTTTTATGAAACGAG